TTGCATCCGAAAAATGCGAAAGTTTGGTTATCAATCCGCACCCAGAAAAAAAATACAGAAACCGAAACAGAAACAAAAACAAAAACAAAGACCCAAATATTTCTCATACATAAAACGATCATAAACTCGGGGCGGCTGGGATATTTAACAATTCAGATGAGGATGAGGGGCGATAAGCATCTCTGGGTTGCATAAGACCGATCTCAGAAATAAACGAGATGCGATTGTCCGTCGAAATTGGAAGTGGGGGTGGGGTTGTCGATGGTCTCATAAACTTGGGCAAGAAATACCAGCAATAGCGAGAGAATTAACCATCCAACAAATATTTATCCCCTTACAGAGTTTTATTCTATCTAAATTCTTTGATGGAATTCCTTTGAATACAATGGTTATTAAGTATTTAAGGAAACAAAATAACTGAACAAGCTTTATCTTATCATGACTTTGCCATAAGTCCATAATTCCAAAATTCCACCTCAAAAAAAGCAGTATTTTGTCCAAAACAAGACAACAAAGTGTCCAAATATTTAGTGTCATACCGCATTGAGTTCGTAATAAAAATCTTAATCAATTGGCATTCAAATCTATTTTTATGTTTTACCATTTAAAAAACAAAATTTTAAAATTGTCAAAAAAAAAATTGTTGAAACGTGACGTGGATCCATTGGTTAGTTTGTTGGCTGTTTAAAACAGTAAGAATTTTTGATTTGACATAATTTTTGGTCAAGTTATAGTTAAAACCTCCATAAAAACCATTTTCCTAATTTGTCTAATTTTTTAAATTTTCTTAGACTTAGCCCTCGGGTTCTCGGACATTGGGTTTTCCATCCTCGGTCGCCTCAGTGGAATTGGACAGGTCGAGTGAATTGGCTAAGCGGCGACTGAAATCCGCTGCAGGAGCTTAAGCTGCAGTTACCGGTTCGGCTTCAATTGGCAACGCGATTCGCGAACAGCAATTGACGGGTAAGTTTAGCAACGGATTCGGATTCAGATTCAAAGTCGGTTCGGCATGCGGGACACGTTGGCCGCCTGGAAAAACGGAAAATGTGAGCAGAGCGTTGGAAAAGCTGCGCATATAAATCGACGCCGGCTGTCAACATGTCGTCGCAGTTGTAGTTGTAGCTGTAATCTCATGGCCATGGGCGGCCTATTGCCTATTGCCAATAGGAGTGACGCCAGCGGGATTGCATTTCCATAGTCTAACGTCGAATGCTGAATGCCGAATGTTGAATGTCTGGTGGCGTCAAGTGCGCAGCGCAGCGCTCAAATTAAAATGAGCCGTTAAGATGCGACTTCGAACGGACCAAGTCGAACCGATAAAATCGTCAGCGTTTGAAGCGCATTTGGCGGTCGTGCCATTGATTGATGCCGCATTAACATTAACCCCAAAATGCAAACAACGGAACCTCTGCAGTTTACTTTGGGATACCCTAGTGAAATTGGAAGTCTTAAAACCAACTCATACTATACAATTATATTAATTGAAAATGGCGATTTATATGAAATTGTTATATTTTTTTGTTTAAAGGATTACGTTTTTTTATAATTTCTGTGAAAATCTCAAAACATTTTGGAATCTGTTAAAAAACTTTAAACGCTAGAATACGTTTGGTTTTTTTATCTTTTTTGAAATAAAAGAAAACTTTTATAAATTTCAAAATCAAATTTTGAATTGCTTAGTTATTTGTTTATTTAATAAATATTTTTATATAAAACAAATAAAATATATAATGCAATTCAGCAAGGAATAGATTGTTCTTTATAATATTTAGATACAACAAAATACCATCATCACTGTACCCACTCGATAAGGGTATGATCCAAAGGCCAAAGGCCAGAAGCCGTACGCAGTCGCCATCTCAATCGCACTTGAAGTTAAACTTCAACTTCAAATTCAACTTCGACATCGACTCCGGCGGGCAATTGAAACGCTTTGGATTTGTGTGTTAATGGGGCTCGATCCGCGCCGATCCAGGGGCGTCTGAGCGGGATTGAGGAGGGGGACGGGGCTGGGGCTGTGCGCTCATTACGCTCGATAAATGCGGCCGGCCTCGGAGTGATTCGAACGTGTGTAACGGCTGGCGGAGAAGAAAGCGTTCCGCCAAAAAAGGGGCACAAAAAGCAAAAAGACAAACAAACTGCCAAATGAATCTCTTTGAGGTCAGCAATTGAATGTGCTCGATGGGCAGGCAGGCACAATCCCCAATCCCCAAAGGGGAATTCAATTAAGTTTTCTATCACCTGCGTGGGTGGGTGGTAGAGGTGGTGGTGCTATTGCTGTTGGTGGTGCCACAGGTATGCGCATTGTTAATTTGTCAAAATGCAAATGCTCTTGCCAGGCAAATTGCCGGAGCAATGTCACCCACGGGCAACATCAGACACAGAAACAGACCTGTGCACTGGGAAAAACGCTGGGTTAAAAGGAATTTAATTATATTTTTTAATACAACTTTTTTGTAATTAAATCTAATAAAATATTATTTCATTTTATTATTTTAAAAAGTGTGCTGCAATGCCCTAATATTTATTGGTATAATTTTACATTTTTAATGTATTAAGTTAATACAAAAATATTATTTCGTTTTTAGCTTGGCTTACTTTACCACTATGTAAATAATTTATCATTACCAGGATTTTCTTTAGTGTACCGAAGGAGCGTGTCATTCCAGCAAGGGGCATTGGGAATTGACATCTGTCCAAGTCCAAATCCAAATTCAAATCTAAGCGATATTCGAAATCACAACGGTGCCTGGCATTAGTCTTGCGACGTCCACTATTTAACCGCCCATCAAACGGAGACGAAGTCCAACTTGGATCCGAACCGAAGACCAAGCCATTTGCGATTGCCATTGCGATTGGGACTGGGACTCAGATTCGGATTGGGAGTGTCGCCCGCGGGGACTTGCCTCGAATTCCGCAGCGTAGACAAAAGAAGTGTGCATGCCAATCCAGAAGAAGAAAGATCCAAGAGACAGCAGGCCGAGACCCGAAATGTTTACGTAATCCATTGGCGAAATATATTTATGGGAATTATCATGCGTGTTGCATGATCAAATGGCCGAATGCTAAGCTCTTTGGCACCGAGAACCCGTGAGGAATGCAGTGTGAGGGAATTCCTTGGGAACCGATCCAAGAAATGCGGAATAATGATCTTCATTCGAGTAAGTCCAATTGAATTTATTATTATCCCAATTTTGACAAAGAAATTATTGTTTTTTTGACCGTTACAATGGAAATATTGGTCCAAATATGGATTGCCATACCTTTCTGAACTCGTTATTAAATTTCAAATCGATTGGCATTTAAACCTGGACATTTTATTTTTTGGCCATTTTTCGAAAAAAAATCATGAAGTACCCCCTTATAAAGAAAAAATTGAAAATTGGCGAAAATTTTATTTTTTCAAAATCACACGGAAAGTGCTATGGATTTATTTATTATTTTGTTATCTGTTCAAAACAGTACGTATTTTTGGTGTAGGACCATTTTTGGCCAAGTTACAGCAAAAAAACAAACAGAAAACACACAAACTTTTACCAAAAACCCAGTTCTCCATTTTTCACAAAAAAGTAATTCCTTTTTTGACCGTAACAAAGGATTGTCATACCTCCCTGGACTCGTTATTAAATTTCCAATCGATTGTCATTTAAACCTGGACATTTTATTTTTTGGCCATTTTTCCCAAAAAATGATGTGCGAATCCACGGGAGGTTATATATCACCCCCTACTCAGGTGGAAAAAGAAAGGAATCACCCCCACAACAAAATCCTAGGTCCACCACTGTTACAAAGTGATTAAATTTGTTTTCAAAATAAAATGATGTAGCTTTTAAATAAAAATAATATAACTTTAAAGTCAGGTGAATTTCCAGAATTTGAAAAACGTATGTTTATCTTTATCATGAAGTACCCCCTTACAAAAAAAAAATGAAAATTGGCGAAAATTTTATTTTTGCAGGATGACCCGGAAAGTGTTATGGATTTTTTTATTTTTTAGTTATCTGTTCAAAACAGTATTCATTTTTGGTGTAGGACCATTTTTGGCCAAGTTATAGCAAAAAAACTAAAAGAAAAAATTCCTATTTTTACCAAAAAAAAAACAGATTACAATTTTGACAAAAAAATAATTCGTTTTTTGACCGTAACAATGGAAAAATTTATCCAAATATGGAGTGTCATACATTTCTGAACTCGTTATTAAATTTCAAATCGATTGGCATTTAAACCTGGACATTTTATTTTTTGGCCATTTTTCGCAAAAAAATCATGATGTAAAAGTAGTATATTACTTAAAGCACAACGATGAGCTTTCGAAATATCAAACAAAAAACTTTATGGCTACTTCCAGCATTCCAAAGCTTTTTAATGTAGACTGGAAGATAATTAGAACAAATTACAAAATTCTTATAAAATTAATTGTTAAAGGTAGCATAAATAAACTTTTATTACGTTTTAGTAAAGAAATACACATTTATTTATTAAGTCAACTTAAATTTATTTGAAAGTATTTAGCCGAGACACGAACCGCGAAACAGCTGGACTGCAAAAGTCTCCAAAGTGTATACTATTCGCCGCTGTTAAGTTAACAGCGCGTTTTCTACGCGATTTTCTTAAAAACGACTGCGGTTAAGTCTTTCGAACATGATTGAATGTCGATTAAATATAAATATTTATAAAAATATAAAAAAATATTTCCATTAACTTCGGGAATAAAATTTAAAATATTTTGCATTATTTCATATTTTTTTTAAATAGAATTCGGAAAAGGATACACTTTTTTCTTCAAAATCTGAATCCTTTTTACGTTTATATTGAATTTTTATCTGCTAACATTTTGCAGCAGACACATTGAATACTCAAAATATTAGCTTTGAGTATGCGCCAACCGAAGTTCCGAGTGCTCGGCCCGAAATCGGCCGAAATCCATCCGAAGTGCCGGGCCGTCGAGTGTCCTTTAAGGCAAAGGATGCTTCGAAATTTGCGCAGTTTGCGTGCGGTTTTCGGAGCAATAGGATGCAGCAGCAGTAGCAGCAGTGAAATCAGAGTCCGCCGAAGAATCAGCTTCATCAGCGGGTTAAATTTCTAGAAAGGAGTTGTGAGTCTATAATCTCGCCTCCCCTTCCCCTCTCCCCACCCCTCCCCCTTTCCTCTCCACGCACCACCCACTCCTTATCCCACTTCCCAGTCCATACAAATGAAATGAAATTCCCATGTGAGGTCTCAGTAAATCATCCTGAAATTTGGCGCGTTTCCTGCGTGTTTTATTTCACTGTTGTTCCAGCTGCAATCACAATAACGAACTCAGTCGCGATTTGCCACGGTGTATTCTCGTTTCTAGTTTTTTTGCTCAATTTTTTGCAGTGTCCCCAGTGCTTGAACTATTTAAAAAGCATATAAACTCAAGTTAAGTGAATGGAAAACCAAAATAAAAACAGTTTTAAGTGACTCGAGGGAATCCACTAACCAAGAGAAAAGTGTGAAAAGTTGGGGGAATTATTTTGGGCTCTGCAAGGACCCTTGGATTACCTTGCGGGGCGAGCGGAATCGGGAGATATAATTTCGCCGGCGGTGAGTGTGAAACATATTTGAAGAATTACGCCAGGTGTCTAAATATAAAACCTCCGAATTGTCTATAATTATTTTGCTCTTTTGTTAACGGTGAAGAGTTTTTATGCGTTATATTTACTTGAATGGGTGTGTTTAGTTTTAATTTTGAAAATATTCATTGCTTTTGTTGTTTTTTAAATATTTTTTAAAGTTTGGACCCTCAAAAACTTACTTCATATTTAGTAAGAAACTAAACGAGTTTTCTTGCTTGAAAGAAATATTTCCAAAACTTTTTCATTAAATAAACTTCTAATTGACACATTTTAACATTGCCATTTTCTGTTCATTTGTATAGTTTTAAATATTAACGAAATTAAACAGAGCTAAAGTTTCAGTATTATTTGTATTTATTTGTACGCTTAAAAATTCCGTGTGTCCGGATTAATAATTTATTTTTATACATAATTTCCCTCCTTAAAGCGCCTTGTATATGTATATATATGAATTTAATATTTTTCTGTGTTTATTTAGGCCCCGGGATTTCGGATTTATTCCATCAGTATATTATTTGGATTTGTGTATTTATAGATTTCCCTTCCATATCATTACGGCTGCCATTATCAACGCCTTTATTACGCTTCCGAGTTTTTCCGCTTTTGTGCGGCGCCTCTTTTGCGCCCATTTGTTTTCCCGCAGCCGCAAACTTTTCCCTTTTTGTGCCCTTTGATGTTCCACAATAGTTGCGAAATGAGGGGGGTCAAAGGTCGGTGGTGCGGCGGTTCGGTGGTGCGATGATAAGCAACTTGTTACGATGACCGTGATGATGAGCGAATTGAGAAGGCTTTTGTGCCCCGCCCCCGCCTGCGGTTTTATGTCCATTTCTATTCTCCATTTTTCCCCCATTTTCCCCACATTTTTGTCCTGCGAACAACCAACCTTTTTCACAGTTTTTGGGATCAGGGTCAGGGCTGTGAAATCGAATCATTTTGTAGGCTTTATATTTAATTTGCATGGTCTGTTCGCCGTTCACCCCAAGAAGGGTTCAAAGGGCTGCCTTAGTTCTTACCTTAAATTTTAACTCTCTGTGGCCCGGAAATTTCCTGGTCTGCCACATACTCTTGGCCAGTTGGCTAAATTAAATAAAGGCAGCGGCGGCAACAGTTTTGCTGTGTTTTTTCCTAAGATCTGGCACCGAAAAGTATGTCAGGAATTTGGGGAATATAACTGGGGATTTGGACTTGGGCTGAACCCGGCTTGATTGATGAAAAAGTACTTAGTTGTTCTCATGAGAAGTCTTTAAGGCTTTTATTGGATGAATATGGTTGGAATGGGATAGATGGTTTTTTTTAATAAGCCTAAACTTCATTTTTAATATTCTCTTCATAATATTAAATTACTTAAATGTATCTTTTAGGTTCACATGTTTTTTAAATATTTATCCAAAAAGTATATTATTATTTATTCATACATCCTTTTACAGTCTACATTTATTCGACATCCTTTACTGATTAAATCGACTGTTTGCACTGCTTAAATTCCATTATTCCATTATTTGTTAATAACTTTTTATTGAATGGTCTGATTTGAAAATTGTCTTCACATTTCGATAGGTAAAAGTAATAATTGTTATTTCAAAGAGACTTTCATATATATTTCAATTATATCCCCTAGATTTGTATTGTTTTTACTCTCCTCTATTTTGCTTTTGTCTTTATTGTTTCCGACACGGCATCTTGACAACACTTTTCACATTCTCCTTTCGCCCGTATTGCTGTTGCTTCATTAGTTTCATTGGATGCAATGCAGCGGCAACAGCAATAAGTTAAATTGTTGCTCCTGCCGATTTCGTTATTTCAAATTTGATTTCCATTCAGGATGCATTGGAGCGACCGAAAGGAATCGAAGGAGGCTGCCGCAAGGAGATATTGCAGCTGCAACATTGCGGCCAAAGGAGGAGATTAAAGCGGGTTTTTTCCCTTGGGCAGTGCATATTTTTTGAAGCCAACAAAGAAGCAGCGACTGAAGCGGCGATGCTGCCGCAGAAAATGGCCGCAGCGACAACAGCAACATCCACGAGTGCAGCGGCGATAACAATAGCAACAGTAACAGCAACATCGACAACAGCAACATGAATGCGACCTGCAGCAGATGCAGCAGCAACATGGCGCGATGATGATGATGATGAGGCAGACGAAGACGCTCAAGCGAATGACGATGATGATGACGACATTGCCGAGTTGCAGTTTCAAGAGCCACAACACAATGCCAAGTGCCAGCAACAAGCTGAGCGAAGGGGGAAATTAAGTGCCAAAGGCAACCGCAGCAACACAGCAGCAACAGCAGCAACAGCAGCAACAGCAGCAGCAACACAACAGCAGCAACAGCAACAGCAACAGCGAAAAGATTTTTCGCCAGCCAAGCAGAATCAAAACTAAATTTACATAACAAAACAGGAGCAGCCAAAACAGAAGTGGAAAAACCCTTGAAGAATCTCCCTTTTCCATTTCCCAGCAGCAGCAGCAGCAACATGTCGTCTCCACTCCTCTGGGCGGTGCTCCTGCTAACCACCGCACTGAGCAGTGGTGGCTGGGCGGCGCCCACAGTCGTCCTCGGTGGTGCAGCGGCAGTGGGGCAAAAGCCATCCCAGTCGCACCACCATTACCACCATGGTTATCTGGAGATCGGAGTGCAGGGCAACACGCCCACTTTGATGGAGGCCAGCACCACCAGGGGCGCCAAGCAGGCACCACTGGGCACTAGCACCACCACCAGCACCACTAGCACCACCACCACCGAAATGCCAAGAGCCACTGATGAAATTCAGGTGACCAAAACAGTGCCAACAGCTGAAGTAACAACTGCAGTCAGCACCACTGAGAACAGAACCACTCAAGGGAGCACCACTGAAAGTAGCAGCATCACTGAGAAATCAAAGGAAACCAGTGAAACACTAAGAAGAACCACTGAAAGTAGCACTACTAAAGGAAGCACCACTGAGGGAAGCACCACTCAGGGAAGCACCACTCAGGAAAGCACCACTGAAGGAAGCACCACTCAGAGAAGCACCACTGAAAGAAGCACCACTGAGAAAAAAACCACTAAAAGTAGCACCACCACTGAAACCCTCGCTTTAGTCAACAGCCCAACTGCACCACCGAACGCCGAAGAATCGCAGGTGGTGCAGCTGCTGGACCTCGAGCACACGGTGGCTCCACCACTCGACAGCGGTCACGATGGCCTCAAGCTGACCAAGAAGAAGCAGCTGCAGCAGCAGCACTTCCCCAGCACCACCACGGTGGTTAGCAGCACCCTTGAAACGGAAATGGAAAGGATACCCACCACCACCACCACTACCAGGGCTGCACCACCACCCACTCCCCTGCTGCCCGTTCACAATGGCTACCTGGGACCGATCTTCATGGGCGAGAAGACCTTCAGTGTGGTGCATCCGCTGAAGAAGCCGCAGCCGGCGAACCACCAGCATGTGGCTTCTATAGAGAGTCAATTGCGCAATGGCCGCCTGGTGGAGATTCTGGCGCCCACGTCACTGCTCGAGGCCAGCACCACCCAGGCACCACCACGGGAAGTAGGACCCCCCTCCTCAGCGGTGCTCTCCACCACCGTGTTCCAGGTGCCCGAGCTGCAGACCAGCACCACCCGTCTGCCCACCAGCAATAACCTGATGGTCGGTGGTGCAGAGCGCACCGAATCCAAGATCTCCGACATTCAGATCGAGGTCTACGACTCCACGGTGGACTCCATTGTGGCCTCGACGAATTTCCGCGACAGCGAGGGCTTCTATGCGCCTGCACCACCGCCACCACCACCGCCGGAAATGGAAACCACCCGGCCGTCGCACGAGATGATGATGTCGCTGCCCCAGGAGCGATTCACCCAGTACGTGATCGATCGGGCGGATGTGTCCACCCAGCCGGCATCGGGTGGTGGTTCCGGTGGTGGTTCATCGGGTGGTGCAACTCTGGGCAAACCCGAGCCGGCGGCCATCGAGATACACATCAATGTTTCCGAGGCCTTTGGCAGCGAGAGCGAGGATCTGGAGTTCTCCTATCGCCAGCCGGAGAAACAGAAGAACGGCGACGAGATTCTGGTGGTGGAGATCATCGACAGTGGTGCGGACAACAGCAGCAGCTCCGAATCTTCCGCTTCTTCCTCCTCCTCCTCCTCCTCCTCTTCGAGTGGCGAGCACATCAATCCGATTTTCACATTCCGCAACTCGGATGCGGCGGCTGCACCACCGCCACCAGTGCGACCACCTCAATCCGCCGTCCAGGATGCCGACGAGCTCTTCATGGCCGATCTCAAGGACGGTGGTGGTGCAGTGCCACGCCCACCGCCGCCACCACCACCGCCGCCACCGCGAAAGCCGAGCATCGATCGCGATTCGGATACGATCTTCTACATCTCGAACACCGAGGTCAAGGTGGGTGAGTCGCTGCCCACGGCGGTGGTGCCGGTGGTGCAGGGCGAGCAGCAGCAGCAGCGCAAGTTCCTGCAGCTGGAGAACCAGTTCTTCCCCGCCAGCTACGTGATGGATCAGAAGCAGCCGCAGCAGCAGCAGGCGGATGAGGACATCATCCTGTCGCCGCTGCACCACAATGCCGATGGTCTGAAGATCTTCCGCAGCAGTTCCTCCTCCTCGGGCGACGGAGCACCACCTCTGGACGTGACCTATGTGGGTGAGTCGGTGATCGAGGTGGAGCAGCAGCAGCCGCAAAGCTGGAGCAGCACGATGCAGCCACATCAGCAGGACATCATCATCCAGCCGGCGGTGCTGCCCGATTTGGCCATCGGAGTGCCGGTGATCGGTGAGCTGCCGCCGCAGATCGAGCTCAAGGAGATCGACTACATGCCCGGGGAACTCGGAATGGGAATGGGCATCTACGAGAACGACATCCAGAGCAACAGCATCGACAGCGAGCCGGATGTGATCGAGAGCTCCATTCAGTACGGCGGTGATTTGATTGACGATGGAGCCGGCGGAGGTTTCGATGGCGTCGAGGGCTCCTATCCCTTCGAGAGTCCAGCGCATCGACAGCTGCAGGTGGGCGGTGGGAACGGTGGTATTCACGGAATGAGCCGCCTGCCCCACCGCCAGGCGGCCAACCACTTGCACCGCGAACAGCTGCCCTCGGCGGAGATGGTCAATGCCACGCTGCTCCAGCGATATGATAGTGGTTCTGGTTCAGGATCGGGATCCGGATCGGGTTCGGGATCGGGAGCTGCCTCGGCCATGGCTCCCTTGCTGGCCAGCGGAGGTGGGAGGAGCGCCAATGCCACCGCTCTCTCGGAGGATCCTCTCGCCGACTATGACGGTGAGTTCGGGATTCAGTCTCTAGGAGATACAATAATAATCAGATATTTGGTTTCTTTCCTCAGGATTCTTCAATCTATTTGCCGTTTCCATGGGTCTCATCATCGTCATCCTGCCCTCTGCCCTGCTGGTGTCCATGTACTGCGCTATAAAGTGAGTAGTCCTCAAATACTTTAATCCTTATCGAGATCTAAGCAAAGAAAAAGGGAAAACTAACTACACTTATAAAAAACATAGAATGGTTAAAATAAATATCTGTACATTGAATTAATTAAGTACAAAACATATCACATTTAATGACTTAATTTTAAAATATTTAAATCAAGGTAGAAAATATTAGATGGTTACATTTTCTTTAAATATTTTTAAATTTCATGAAAAATCAAAAATCATTGTTTAAAGTTTAAAGTCCTTAAATTAATGAAAATACTTAAATTTAATATTTCCATATACCAAATTTATTTAAACCACTATGTATGAAAATTATACCGAAAATTATTTACTACAGTTTTTTATCAGTGTACAAAATTCTTAAATAATTTTAAGCATCACGATACAATTTAAGCTAAAGTGTTAAATTTATTAAAATCCTAGAAATATGTGAGTAACTTGATAAGAAATCCTAAAACTTAACGATTTCACATATTCAGATTTCAATATGAAGCAAAGGAATATTTATAAAATCCTGATAACAATGAGCTCCACCTTGGGTAAATAAATAAATACCTTATTACCAGAGTTCCAACCTGATGGTTATCGAACCGCCTTCAATTGAGGGGGAGAAACCATGGCCTGCTTAACCTCAGCCCCCTGAAATCCCCCAATCAACCCCCCATTCCCCCGCAGTGAACTGTCATTCCTGGGGCCAACTGTACCCAGACAGCTTGGTCTTTTATCCCGGGCTCCTTAGCCATTTGGCTGGGCTAATTGGTTACGCCTCGTGTGGCGCTTAATCAGCTTAGACGGCAGTGTCCCACACAAATCAAAAATAATTGCAAGAAATTGCGAGGAAGCAGGAAAGCTGCTGGCAAAAGGGGGTGGGGGATGAGCCAAAGCCAAAGCCACCTTAAAATAGAAAGACAGGGGGGGTTTGACAACATGTGAGTCCTGAGTGGCAGGCAACCCTAATCCGATCCCGCCTAAACCTCCATTTCAAGGATTCCCCGGGCGCAATTCGTTGCCTACTTTCGGGCAACCACGCAGGCACAAGAATGCACTCAATCCAAAGCAATTTGCCGGGGCAACCACCTGACCCCCGGAATCGGAATCCCCCTCCCCCCACGGAACCCACCGCCCCTGCAGGCAAGGCGTGGCAAATCGCATTTATCAGCTTCATTCCTGGCGTTTTATTTCTCATTCGCATTGCCAGCGACAGACAGCAGAAATAGCAACAAAACATTGACAAATCTGTGACGGAGTGGTGGTGGTTGGGTGGTTGGGAGGTGGTTCAGTGGTTCAGTGGCTCGGTGGCTCAGTGGGAGGTGGGTGGTCTGGAGATTTGAGAGCATTGCCAGGGACGCACATCCTTTATCGCCCGCAGTCTGGCCCAAACATAAATCTTGGCCGCGCCACGAATTGGGTTGAAAGCTCTTGGCGAAGCTGCTGTTTCTCTACTTGCTATACTTGTGTATTTATAAATGTGTGTAGGTATATAGTAAATATACACAGAGAGAAAATAAGAGGAAATACGAATATTACTTGGCTATTTTTGTTATATCTTTCACCTGTAAACTTATAATTTGTATTTTTAAAAGTATACAAAATGTTTAAAATGTTTTTTGTTAACATTATAATACATTTATTTATTGTTATACAGCTGTGGAAAATTATATTAAAAATAATAGAGCGCTATATTAATTAGCTATATTTATACTATTTTATACTATTTTATTATGTAATTAATTTAATTATGTATGTAATGTAATACTTGTTGTAAAGGCTTAAAATAACATAGTTTTTCTCCAATTTAGTTATCAAAATTTGTATAATATAAGTTATATATTTTATTTATTTCTTATATAAGCTTGCAATTTTTCCCTGTGCACACACACATATTCGCTGGGCACTAAATGCCAAACAAAATGAAGCCGGGGAGTGGGCAAATGGGTGACTGGGCGACTGGGAGTGACAGGTTGATGGGGAGCCCGGAGAAAACTGAAGGCGCAACAAATCAACGCGGCGGAATCGAGAATCGGCGAGGCCGGAAACGGAAGTCGCCACACACACACACACACACACAGAGAGACAGACAGACAGATAGCACATCCTCATTCACAGATGATGTAGATGCCAGGAGCTAACAAGGCAGCTGTTTTCGGGGAAGGTAATTCCAAGCGCCGCGCGCTTTTCCCCAGATTTTCCCGCTTTTCGGCGGCAGCCGCAGGAAAAACGCATAAAGCGGCAAATGGCAACCGCAAACGTTGCCAGTTTGTTGCCCCATTCCAATCCTCATCCTCAGCCCGCAAAGAAAAAAGAAGAAAGGTGCCGTGAAAAGCCAGCGTCAAAATAAAAAGGAAACACACAATTTATTTGCCTTATTCCCTTCAGCAGGCAAACAGGACATTGTGGTGTAAGTGTGTGTGTGTGAGAGAGTGTGTGTGCGTGTGCTGGCGTCTGGAAGGAAATTGCACAATAAACTCTTGAGACGAGAAATTAGTTGTGCGTGTGGCTCGTTTCGGCGGCGGCTTTCCAACTTGAAATTCGTTGAGTGCCACAAAGGTCGCTTTTTTTTTGGGAGGGGCAAGGACAATGGGATACTCTCGGGACAACGACAGGATATTCAGGATACTTTCCCCCCCTCGAAAGTGCTAATATTTATGGCGCTTTCTGAGGCAACTTCGGGAATTTCTGTTGCGAGCAGGCCACGAAGATTATTTCTGACCTTAAAACGTGGTTTAATATTTATTTTCGGTGCCTCTCTTTTTGATAAATAAACTCCGTTACTTATAACTTCTATATAAATTTCAAGTGGATTCATTTAGGATTTGGGAATTTCGCGTTGTAATTCCGGGATTTTCGTGATCCGATTTTGTGGCCATTGCAGCCGCAAAGTAGGCAACAAAATGTTAATTTCAGTCGCGGCATCATTAGAAATGCATTGGATTTTCAAACTCTGACACTCGCCATCTCTTTCTCTCACTAACCCTGTCTCACTCCCTCTCTCTCTGTCTTTTCTTTTACAGGTATGTGCTTGGCAAGAACACAGGAGCGGGCACGGGTGGCGCCCCAGGCGATGACAGCGAACAGGGACAGGACTCCAAGCACGAGGTGAGTTGATGGCAAAAAGCTGAATAAGCCAAAAGACCCCCACCCCCTGGTTACACCTCCTGAAAAACCCACCCCCCGCCCTCTTCGCTTGGTGGAAATTGAAATTTAAAGGCAAGTGCCGCCAGAGAGTGTCTTCAGCTGTTCGCATACCACTGAATCTACAACCCATCCACCCACGCGGATGCACTCGTCGAGAGAAGCTCTCGAGAAAATTAAACAATGGCTGAAATTTCCGCGGGAAATTTTATTGCGTTCCAGCTGAAATTGAGAGCTGAAAGGCCAAAAATAAAGAAACACCCAGAACGCGGCTTAAACAGAAGGTTTTTATTCCGTTTTTACCTTAAATTTATTTGCTGGATATTAAAAGTTAACTCTTTAAGTCAGAAATATTATTGAGAAAATTATTAAACTTAAATTTCTTTCAGTCATTGTAGATTCATTTTATAATTCTTTAAATTTCTGAAGAAAAAGCTTAAAACAAAGGATTTTATTTAAATTTTTATTTCAAATTTAAGAGGTTCTTTTTCATATTAGTAAGATAGATTTTGATTTTGATTTTTATTAGTTAAAACAAAAGATTCATTGTCATATTCAAGACTTCTTCGGAGGAAGTGAAAGCTGCAGCCAAAGGTTAGGGTTCAAGTTTAAATGGAGCTCGAGTTAGTTGACTGGTAAAGGGAATAAATTCCCTTGGCTGGTAATGAAATTTCCCAGCCCTTTGAGATGGTGTGTGTGAAAGAGTGTGGGGTGTGTGTGCGTGAATTGCATTGCATTCCGTTCCAGTTATGTACTGCCATCTCCCTCTCTACCCTCTATCTCTCTCTCTCTCTCCATTCGCCTCTTGCAGTCAGAATCGTCGTCATTCTCATCATCTGGCTCGGCATTTGCATTTGGCAGAGCCACCTTGCCACCGACAGAACCACACCCTCACCCACAGCCACACCACCACCCACCGCCCACAGCCACGCCCCCAAGTGGCGGCAGTCAAGGCCGTTTACTGATGGCTGGTCTGGAAAGCCTCGCGTTTCGATTCGAAACGAAAGGCGAGGTGGGTGAGAAAGGGGAGGTGGCTCAGGTGGGTGGTGGTGCCTCCTCCTTTGCTCCTCCCTGCGGCTCCGTCACCAAGATGACGCTCAAAGATAATCATCTGATTGTTGTCACCGAGGAGCGGCACGTAAGTTCGTTAGTCATCCGATCAGCCGGATCAGTCGTCCTTTTGCCCGCCATCTCTAATCGGGATTCTAGATGTGTCTCTCTGTCTGCCTGTCTCTTTCTCTGCATCTCTCTCCATCTCTCTCTTCCGCTCGCAAACTGGTTGTTGTCGTAGTTAGTCAGTAGCTTGCTGTTCTGTTCTTTGACTTGGTATGACTATCTACCGAAAACTGAAATCCGACTATCTTTCAGTTCTGATTCGATTGCATCTTTAAAGACTCTAAAGCCTCTTCTCTTAAAGTTTGGGAGCACCTGATCTTAAGTTTTAGTATCTAAAAAAAGGCAGAGTTTATGATTTCTCATTTCTTTATAATTTGTTTGTTACAAAATTTAATTATCCCTGGGAACTGAGTTATTAGGGCCACCATTGTTTTATAATTTCCCAGCTTCGTTAGTTTTCCCAGTTAGTTTTCTGTTCCTGAACCTTTTGTGTGCTAAGTGAGTACTTTATTTACCGCACTCTCGCCCCTTTTGACACTTGTTCGCTTGTCCTGGCCTTGAATGTCCTTGGGTGGTCCTTCGGAGCTCGTTCCCATATCAATGGGCACCTGCGGACCAAGAGACAGCGAACGAGGGCCAGAGATTTGGGTCCGAACAACAGCCCGGTGTCGTCTATTTGTCAACTTGAGTGGGTCAGTGAGTAAGTGTGTGTGTGTGTGTGAGTATCCTTGGGGCGTGTGTGTGCCACAAGCATATGCAAATGCAATTTTCGACACTTTCCGCATGGCAGCCAACCGATTTGTCCGCTCTGTCGCTCTTTTAACCCCCTGACCACTTTCTCCCCTCTCTCCATCTCGCACCCTTGATGTTGTGTGTGTGTGTGTCTGTGAGAAACCTGCACCTTCTAACTAGTATGCACAAGGACCCCTTGCCCGTTGACTTCAATGTAACTCTGTATCCTTTCTCGCAGGACATCTCGAGGAATGCCCGCGAGACGAAAATGCACACGGACAAGGATGGCGTCTTTGTGGTGGAGGTGGCCCGCGGCATTGACTCCAAACAACTTCCCGCAGGCGATCATACCGGCGTCATCTTGGACTCCACCGAACTGCCCTTCGACAACGGAAAGTTGGCGCCCAACGGGGGGCATTTGCTCGATAAGAGCCTGCCGCCCAGCCACGAACAGGTGCAGATCCATGCGCCGCCCCAGGACTGCTGCCCCACCACCGCTGCCGCCGCCGCCGCTCCACTTCATCTCATCGAGGAGGCCGAGGAGCAGGTGGCCGACGAGCCGGTCGAGGAACCCTCCAATCCCGCCCTCACCGGCCTCTCGCAATCGGATCTCAGCTCCACCTCGTCGAGCGACTCCAACAAGCGCTACTCGTACGGCAACCAGGAGCTCTATGTCATCGAGCAGCCGGGCTATGCCACCAGTTCGCCCACAGCCAAGCCCATATTGATAAGTCCGAATGTGAATCTAGATCAGAACCTCAAGACGCAGTTGTCCATTAGCCCGGAACAAACGGAGATGGGAGATTCGAGCCAGGGTTCCAAGAAGTCTGATGAAGAGGCATTGCCCGAGAAAGAAACCGAGGTTCTTCCGGAAAAGGAAAAAGAAGTAGAGGTACAGTCACCGCCAGAAAAGTTAGTTGCCCCGGAAATTATGACAGAGATGCCAGTCAAAGATGAGGAAGAAGTTCCCGCCAAAGAGGAAGTGCTGCCGCCAGCAGTCGAAGTCTCACCGCCAAAGGAAGAGCCGAAGGATCCCATAGATACCCCCGAGGAACAAGCCGAATCAAAACCAGACTCCGAACCGGAAAAGCCCATTGAATCCCAGCCAGAGACCGAGGCGGAGAGCAACTACGACAGCCTGATGAGCCTGCCGGCGCCACCATCCACGGAGGAGATCAAGGAGCTGGGCGACTACACGCTCATGGAGTCCAACCAGTTGGACAGCCTGCCGCCGCCACCACCGCCGCTCCTCGAGGCGCCCAGTGCGCCGGCGGCCATTGTGGTTGGCAAGATGGGCAGCACCACCACCACCACCACCGCCACGGGAACCACCACCACCACTGGGGGTGAGCCGGCCACCCTGACACCACCCGCCTCGCCGCCCGCCACCCCACCGCCCTCGCAGACATCGACGCAGTTCGTCAGCAATGGGCTAACCAATGGCATCCACGCTTTGGCCGCCGTCGATGTGAATGGCAGTTAAGAGAAGAAACAGTTACGGGATGGTAAGAGATTTTTTTTCATCGGATCTCATAGAGATCGTGGGGAGATCGCGGAGATCGTAGGGTTAAGGATTACTAGGAGTACTGATACCAGAAAACCCAAGAAAAAAAATAACTGTGGCAAAAAACGTTCTCAAGCAAAACTTAAATTTAAATATACACTAAATAGAGAGAAACTTTTTCCACTTACTGTTTGTTGATTTTCGAATATAACGAATAACGAGTAATAACAATTAAATGCGATTAATATAAATATATAAATATAAATCATAATTAATTGTTTGTCTATTTGCGGCTGGCGGCCTCTCCCCCCACCAACCATCCACCCACCACCCACTGTCCACCCACAGCCACCCACTTTGACCCACTTCCCTCTCCATTTCGGGGGGAGGTGCGGCTAACGAGTATTTCAATGTCTATAACTACAATAAAGCTAGAGCAAAAAAAATGAACGAGAATAAAATACAAATACGATAGAATCTGCATACAAAAAATACATATAATATAATGCAAGAAATGCGATACACGTGGGCAAACAAAAAAGAGAGAGTAACTACCGATATGTAACGATGCATAATTAATTAGGCTAATTATTTACACACACAACAGCGCCAAAATTGAAAAACAGAGAGCAGAGAACAGCAACCGCATAAAGGGCATAATTGTAGTGAAGTTATTTGGGTTCGATTGGCCAGTTCGTGGACAGCCAATAGCATCTAAGTGTGTCCTGTGTCCGGAGGATCCCCGTCGAGGATTAGTGTATAGGGTTTTAATTAGCAGCGATCCGGAGGGAAGTCCGAGTTGGTTTCAAAGGCATCAATTGCTGTTAAGAGGGATTGTGTTTAAGTGGATTTCCGATGAAAATGATTTAATTAATACTGGTAAAGTGCCAAAGAAATGACTAAATTTGAAAATCACCAAAAAGGTGACTAAAAGTATGCAGCAATATATTTTCAGGCCGAAAGTCACATTACTGAAGGCCATAATATTTACACTGCATACTTTTAGGCACCCTTAAAATCCTTTTCCAGGGCAAGAGGATAGATAGAAAAGGGTAAATAAAATCCGGACATAGAGCACACCAAAATATCGTCGATCGTTCGATATTCATGTTTCGCAAATTACGCAACTCACTTGACAAAATCAAATGTGCCGAACTTTTGTAGCAAGCCAACACAATTTACAAGGAGAAACGAACAATTTATACAATGCCAATATGGTGATTACAGCAGAATATATATGTAACCTTTTAAACGATAAAGCCCCCATAGTTATAGTCGATAGTCCTAGTCGATACAATATATATGTATATTTTTTTCGTGCGTGTGTATGGAGAAAATAGACGAAAAGAGGACTTCAACTCCAAGCAAATGAGAACTAAATGGCTAACGATAGACGTAAGAAAACAGGAAAACTGGCAGACAGACTAAATGAATGCAGATCGTGAACATTTCCGGTATATTTGCTCCACATTAATATGGTCTACACACACATATATACAGCATTAATAAAATATAGAAAAACTTAACTCTTTAAAACAAAAAAAACGAAAAATACTTTTAGAAGTAAAGACGACAGACCGAATGGAATAATAGATAAAAGCACTGCAAGTGGCGCGCTATAATGTAAGTAGTAGGAATTATCCATGTCCCGGATATATTTATATCGTTTATAGGTGGAACATAATCCCTGGCTAACGATTTAACCACTTTTGTTGTTTACGTTTGTTCAAATTGTTTTATTGACAATTAAACCCGACGGTCGAGCGAGCATGCCAATGAGAAAATATTATGAATATTATAAATAAATAACCCCCTCCCCAAACCAAATAAAAAAAAAAACAAAACACTAATCGTAAATCAAATATAAAAGTTAGGAAAAGCGTGAAGGAATTTTTTTTTTGGATCGAACGAAAACAAAAGAAATAAGTAAATGTGATTGTTATTTAACCTTAAGTTATTATTAAAATCTAACTTAAACTGATATGTGTGTGAGTGTGCGTTTATGAACAAAAAAAATGTAGCAAGCCAAACGAAACGAAGCGAATCGGAACGAAACGAATGGCAATGGAACGCTCAAAAGCAAAGGCAAGCGATAAGCGATTAACGATTACCGATTAACGATAGCTGGCAACTAGGCAAGATAAAGGTCCTGCTAAAGAAAACCAAAAAAACAAAAACCCAAAAAAAAAAACGGGGACTTAACCGAAATAAATGAAATTCAATACTAAGACCGATTGCAACCGAAACCAAATGAGAAATACACACGAAAAGCAAAGTCAAGCGAATGCATTTTCCCTGGGCGGGACAGTTTGGCATTTTGGAATTTTTAATATTCTGTGTGTTTCAGACGGTTCAGAAGTCTGGGACCAGAGACCCCCAGACTCCGTCGATTTGCGGGCTGCCATAAAATCGAACTTCGGTTCGAGCGGAGCCACTCAGGCGATTTGGTTCGGTTAAAGACCCATAAAGCCCCGTCAGTCGAGGGCGTAAGGACCCCGAACTACAAGTATGACTGCAATGTGTGCAAAGGACGATCTGCGAACGGGAGCGCAAGGAGCAATGGAGCGGAAGAGAGAAAACGAGGAGGGAGAAAACAGAAAAAGGGGAGACCAAGTCGGTGGGTCCAGAAGGGGGCGTGGCAGCCGGAATTGCGGAAAGCACTTGGCTGGACGTTTTGAATTTCAGCCGAGGCTCCCTGCGAACGGCTACAATCACCTACACCCCGCAGGAGCCTGGAATGCTACCCTGCAGATGCCTGGCCGTTGGCCGGGTAGCTATGACAGGGCGATTTCGGGGATTAGAAAATATGTAAGTGGTTTCCAGTTAGAAATAATTTTAAAACCAGAACTATAGTTGGAAAACTTACTTCGTAGCTTAAGCTTTACAAACAGGTAAGTTAAATCTTTAAAAAATTATAATATTTTAAAATTTTTAATTCTTATTTCTGAAATTTAATGCTGTCATTAGCTATCAAAAACTGACTTTAATAATTCATCACTCTTGTATGTATATCTGAAATTGCAAATAGAATTTAATATATAAGGAGAATCAAAATTTACTTAATATTAAAATTGAGTTTACAAATCTTTACATGATCTGTACAAAACTAAGTAAATGTCTTTCATTCGAAATCAAGTACTTCTATTTATGGCTTGGAAAAATATCCACAGTTTCCTATTTCGATATTATTAAATTGATATTGTAAAAATATCAAACATATATATTATATTTAGATTATATTTAGCCTCTTGAAATGTTTTGATTGAATTTTATAAAATTAACCACACTATTATTTGCTATCAATTATATTCCAGGGCATCCAAAATTCGTATCCCAGCTCGGTTTTTTTTATCCTCGGCTTCGCTTGCACTTAATTGCGGGGCAGCTCATGTTGTCTGCTCGTTCCGTTCGGGCTTTAACTTTTTTACTAATTTTAAATGGCGCTTCCGTCGAGCGAGGGGACTCTGAAGGATGTGGAGGAGGTGGTGGAGGAGGTGTAGTGGTGCGGATGGAGGGCCCGGTGGTGGTGGTGGTGGTGCTGGTGGTGGCTCTTGTTGTCAAGTGCTGTCCTCCTGTGTATGCTCGAAAGTTGAGTCGACTTGAAATTTTAATGAAATGCGCTGCTGCTCTCGAGCTCCATCTACGTCTATGTCTATGTCTATGACTATGACTCCGGGTTTTTCGTTTTTTGGGGGGCCCCGGGCTCTGTGGCTGACTTCTGGCTGCTGGCTACCAACTCCCAGCTCCCCGTCTGCATTTCAAATTATTTTTAATTGTCATTTCTGTGGCATCGCCGGCAATGGCGTCTCATTTTCATTTTCGGCGCTGTCAAAGGCATAAGGCCCCGGCTTTTGGCTTCGTGTGGCCATTGGCGCATTTGCGGCAATCAAAATTTTTATGCCATGGACAGTTGATTAACCGCAAACAGGCAAAGCGGGCCTGCTGGTCGCGTCCTCGTTCATAATTAAAATCAAATTAACCCACACACAAAAGGTAGCGCCACCACCGCCACGTTTGTGGTTCGTTTGGGTCCCGAAAAAGGGGTTAGTTGGGGGTGCTATTGCCATTATTTCACATTTCGGTTGGCATTATGCAATTTGCCCGTTCTCCTATGTTTACGCCCATTCCCGTGTTCGCTTCCGTTTCCGTTCCATTGCCACACCGTTCCCCCGAAAGGCGGCAATCAGTGCAATCGACGGACTGGATACAATTTATTCTAGCCGCAGGGCAGCCCAAAATGAAATTGACATTTTGCAGGGCGCAAAACCAAAACCAAAGTCATTTATCCTCAGTAGCCCCCTATGTCATTACCCCCCGGAACGGCCGAAATTGGGGAGCGGGAATGGAGTGCAATTGAAGCTGGGACACAGATCATTAATCAAACAACTGCACAACTGACAAATAGGTTGAAGGGTAAAAAGAAAGCCAGTGTGTGAGAAATGTTTGCAAATCGAATCTAAATGAATAATAGTGAAATGGAGAAAAGGAATAAACTGAATGGAATAGAAATAAATGGAATGAAACAATTTTTAAATATAAATAAATTAATTTACATTTTGGGGTGCCAAAGAAATGGCTATATGGGCACTTCCAAAAAAAAGTCCACCAAGCCAAAAACCTTGAAACTTGAATAAAACATATTTCCACATGATTTTGCCCCGATATTAGTTTCTAATTAGTTGGATACTGAGCTTAACTACAAATTTGGAGTATAGTTTGATTATTTTTATGACAAACCCCACCAATATACGCAAAAATCAGTTTTTGGCTATTTTTTTGTTATTTTTTGGACCTGTCTTCTGTTGTTAATTTATCCTATAGGAATGCTAATATGTGACATTTTTCTGTACTGAATGCTTCATTCACATGCTAAACTATAAAGTTAAAAGCAAAACATCCAGCAATTGAGAGATAGAGGTAAAGAAATCCGCTTTACAAAACAATCGGAAAAAATGTCCCGAGCGACATGTCCCGAGCGAATGTGGTTGAAACTGCATAAAAAAAAAACGTCAAAGAATTTTTGAGTGAAACCAAAAGCATTTCACAGCGACATGTTTGAACAACATTCTAAAAAAAATCGCATTCAAATATTCCATCAGAATTTGCTAATTTCTGGTGTTGTATGAACTTCCCCGAAATCCACTTCTATTTTTGTCCCGAGCGAATACGGCAGTTTTTTACCGATATCTTAAAAACTAAAAGTGGTACAAAATTAAGATTTTTACCAAAAATAGAGCTTGGGAAGAGTGAAAAGAAAAGCCCATAATTAAAATTAAAATCCATTGTTTTACAACTTTTTTTCAACTTTAAAGGTGTGCAAATGTCCCGAGCGACATTTTGGAAGTGCCCATATTATATTTGAAAATCTCCATAAAGGTATCTAAAAGTATGCAACAAAATATATTTTTAATCCTAAATTTTCAGTAAATAATTTTTTCATTGCACACTTTAAGACACCTTTAATATTATTTTAAGTTAATAAAAGGATACAAAATATTCTAAATTTAGGTCCGAATATTATAGTACCCATTCCACTATCGTATTTTTTTCGGCACAAGAATAAAGCAATTTACTAATTAAGCAGATTGCATACAACCTCTGCTATTTTTTCCGTTTTTTTTTTTGGTCTGCAGAGCAACTACTGAAACAAGGCAAAAAATAAATGCATTTCGACTACGCTTAAATTGATGAAATTAGTGCGACAGATTGATTTTTGGCACGTTGCACTGATTGATTGACTGGGTGATTGATGGACGGATGGTTGGCAACAACTTTTGTTGGATTTATGGGCCACTGGCCATCGCATCGCATCGCTTTATGGCCATAGAGCATAATTGAATTTAATTTGTTACACCCGAAAAAAGTACAACCATGTATCCTTTTAATTTCATCCATCGATTTGCCAATCTGTCGGCGTAGTGAAAAGTCTTGCCTAATGGATTGGCGAGGAATTATCCT